GATGTTAAGTCTTGAATTACAATAGCTTTTTAGTTTTCCTGCTTCCATTCTGTCCTCCTACCATGTATTTTTTTTAAAGATTTTAATTATTTGAGAGGGACAGACTGACAGCACAGGTGGGGAGAGGGAGAAGCAGGCTCCCCGCTGAGCAGGGAGCCCCACGCGGGACTCAATCCCAGGACCCTGAGCTCATGACCCGAGCCAAAGGCAGAGACACTCAACCGACTGAGCCACCCAGGCGCCCCCTCATACCATGTATTCTTGACATGGCATTACTCTATCATTCCTGTGCTTAATTTTTTTTTTAACGGCTTCCTGAAGCAATTAGAAAAATAAATAAATTCCTTACCCTGGTTGAGGTGATCTAATCCCCTTATGTCTCCTACACTACCTCTTAACCATTCTGACAACTCCTGACCCCACTTCACCAATCCCAGCGTCTTCTTACCTTCCCTGCTTTTCCAATTTTACAGGCTTTAAATTAGCTGGTCCCTCTGGCTGGAGTGCCAGATGGGTGATCAGGGAACACCATCCTAAAGTTGCCACACAGTGGCTATGTATTATCTTAATGCTTTGCATAGCATTTACAACTACACTTCACCATTATTAATAAGCTCAGGGAGACCAATGGACTTCTCTTATTCACTCACATAACTTCAAAATCAAGAACAGTGTCTGGCACGCAGAGGTGGCTCAATCTACACTTTATCAAGTGTTAAATGGTTCGTCATTAACAAGAGCATAACAGTATATAGGAAAACACATACACCCATGCTAAGGTATTTACAGGGACCATCTACAGATTAGACTATGGGAGTTCACTCTTTTCGATTATCTGTATTTTCTATTATGTGCACAGCATGTTTTTAATTGCAATAAGTATACATAAAATTGACTATTTCATATACTGAAATAAGGCACAAGCCAAAATTTTGCACAATCCTAGACAGCCTGATCTTTTCAGGTCCAGTTTAACACCAAAATCCAAGAGGGTTTCACTAGCACTCCTGCCTCCTCACCCAAAAAGCGTTTTCCCTTGTGTTCCACAAAGCATTTTATTTCTCCAATTATGCAAGGGAGAAACTTAGAATTCTTCTGAGACCACCCTTTCCCCCACCAAGCCCTGGCCATTTTACCCAAGTCTTTCAAATTCTTTACATTTCTAACACCAATACTCTAGCAGCACACTTCAGTACAACCTAGTACCACCACTCCAGTATCACAGCTCTTGGACTGAGATACTGGCAGTAACCATTTACCTGATTTACTCATCACAGAACTCCCTCAATTTGTTTACTATGTAGCTAGAGACATTTCAAAATAGAATTACGTGGGGGGGGGGGCGCCTGGGTGGCTGTCATTAAGCATCTGCCTTCGGCTCAGGTCATGATCCCGGGGTCCTGGG